TTATTAGTTCCTTTGACTGATGAGAAGGTAGTTTTCACTATTGTATAAAATAAATGCTTTTAAAAAATTTTGGTACCATTTGTCCTCCCTGTTCTAGAAAGAAAACTTCCTACTTACTATAAATAAACATGGATTTTTGCAGGTCTTGGGCATTCTAATTTCTTAGTGTTTTTCAGCTCTTCAAATGGATATCAGATTCTGTCTCTCACAGGTTTTTCACAGCTGTTGGCACCTTCTTAAGCAGTATAAGAACTTTGATACTAGTCATCCTCTGCCCTGTGTGTTTCTGCTGCACTGAATGTTAAGATATCTCTAATCATACAGATACCGGATAAAGCTAACATCTACCAAAAATATTTCAGTTATTGGCACCTTCATATTTCATTTGCTTTTTTACTTTCTTTTCTTTTCTTTTTCTTTCTCTTCATGCTAATCATTTTCTGGCTATGAAAGGATGTCGGCTCATCATTGGGGGAAGGCTTTTGCGAAAAGGTGGGTTTTGCATTGTGTTCCAAATATAGTTGGTCTTAGGCTCAGTCCCTCCCTTGCATTAAGGTCTCTTCACAAATGGAGGTGTTTTACTCCATTTCCTTCTGGGTTGGGTAATGCCAGGGTGGGGCTTGGGGGAGGAAGAGAGTGCTTTTTTTTTTTTTTATGAGAGGGGTTGTCTTGTTAGCTTGAAATAAGATATTTTTTTAGAGAACCCTCCTATTATGTTGAAAAAAAAAAACATTTTTAAAGTATTTAAAAGATTTTGAAATGGAATCTGATGCATGCCAAGATGTGGAAGAAAGTGCTGTCTTGTCATGAGTGGATTTCAGAAAACTTCTTTTAAAAGAGATGATGACTGACTAGCCTGAAGCCACACAAAGTATCCAGTCTCCTTGCTTCAGTTCCCCATCTGCCATATAATGGTCTTTCTTTGCATGAAGACAAGTATTTTGGGAATCCCTCAGCCATGGTGAGTGTCATGAACAAGTGTTACCCTTACACAGAAGGCTCGTCCAGGAGATACACCTACCACAATGTATGGAAATTTACTACAAATAAACACATGCTTGTTTTAAATCTTATGCTTTTAAGACAAACCGTCTTTCTTATTGGAGTCATATAAATGTGGACCTGGGAAAGAAGCCTGGAATTGAACAGAATCTTTGGGGGTCAGGGCGTGAGGGAGGCAAAATCTGCAGAGTTGAAGGTCTGCTTGAGAAAAGACAAATGGCCTGCATCTCATTTTAGAGAGCGGAGGATGCTATTGCTGTTTCTCCAGGCTGAGGTTGGAGCTATTAACCTGTGGTGATGGTTTTGCTGCATCAAAGTAGCTGCTGAGGAAACTGCTCTGGGAAGTAGCTGCTGAATACAGCCAAATGCTATACAAGCCAATGCCTGACTTGAACTTTTCCTGGACCATCTATATTTGTACTTTATGCATACACCATTTAGCTTTTCTTCCCATCTACTGACCATGGCTTCTTGAAAATTATTTGGGTGGGAGAAGCACTTTTACGTGGTTTTGAGTTTATGCCTTTTTGTATTGTATGCTACCAAGCCCTCTTCTTGCTTCATTTCCATAAGCAAAAGAAAATCCATGTTAAAACTGGGAAGCTGTTTTCTGCAGGTTTTTAGAAAGCTTGTGTTCTGCTCAATATAGAGGAAAGACTTGCTGAAAGATTTGCTTAAGTGAAGGGAAGTCAAGTCCAAGTCAGATACACTTCCAAATGGACAGATTTCTACTGAACTGAACATGGCTACAAGCAAGTCAGCTGGAGAAAACTGAACTCCTTAGAAACACACAGCTTGATATTCAAAAAACCACAGCTGAAAAGGGTCATATTCTTTAAAATAACTAATCTGAGTTAGGGTGGAAATGCAAACCTCCGTACAAGGAGATTGTGTTAAATTTATCAGCGCTAGTCCAAATAGGTTCACAGCTGTTAATTCCTCCCTTTAAGTGCAAAGCTAGAAAGCATGAAAAAAATGATAGGACACAAGAAGTCATTTCTCAACAGAGGACAGTGAAGCTCTCAAGATATATTAACTGGGGTGGTTTATTATGTAGAATAGAATCTGTTAGTATAACAATCTTTATTTTACCTATTATTGTTTATATGAAGTAAGATAAGATAATTTCTGAATAACCTGTGCACAGGTTCTCTGGTTTGGGAATACATGGTACCTGGTGCTCACATCTCAACTGCTTCATGAGCTAGTTCAGATCTAACACAGCTTAGTAGTTCAAGCTCAAGACAGCGCAGATAAAGGTACTGTTTTCAGAGTCAGCTGTGTGGTTCAAAAGCATCCAGCTTGTTCCGGCTGTGTGCTGGGTAGCCTAAACTAATAAGCCCTGCTCTTGCTGAAGCAATCTTGTGTGCCTGTGCCATGTGCCCAGGTGTGAAACAGCTATAGTCTAAATAGTCCTGGTATGCTTCTTTTTGCAATGTAGGTTATCGGTTCAGTGTAGTGCAAAAGTAGTACAGCTGTATTCCTGGGATACTGTACTTGAACTACAAGTGAACCTCCCTTTAATATATCCAAGAAATATCCTTGTGACCTCGTATGGAACATCCCAGTTCCTGATTGCCGGGGGTAGCAATGCAGGAGGATGTTAGCATCCAGCATCAGCAGTTGCTGCTTTTTTTTCTACCTGTATAGAATAACTTGACACTTGAAGGTGCCAGAGGAGCTGACAGAGAAGTTCTATGCATTGTGTGCTGCAAGGTTTGTTAGAAGTCAAAGTATAGGGAAATATAGAGGGTTGGCATTGCTGTGCCAGTAGACGCAGGGATAAATAAGATAGCCTGAACAACCAGCACCAGCCTGGCATTAAGGACATGCAAATTAGTGAAGTTGTTGATACAGGATTTCACAGGCTTAAGTTGTTCTTCAGCTGTGTGACTGGTCTTGTCCTTCCTCTCCTTGAGAATTATTGATTGATAAACACCCCGTTGTTGTAAGTCTCAAGATATTATTGAGAACAATGAATTATTGTCAAGCATTGAATTTTTACTGGATCTTGTTATGGCTGTACTTCTTGTTCCTATGCCATTTATTAGTGGTTTGGAAGAAACGTATACTAATGCTCCTGAAAACTAGGATAAAGATTGTTAGAATATTACATAGGGCAGGATGGGCCAATCATTGGGAACACGTAATAACCTGCATGTGAGGAGACTCTGTGTTTCACTTCAGCCAGATGTGAGATCATGCATGTGAGGAACTAGGAATGCAGGTCATGATGTGTGGTAGGGGAGTGGCCAGCAATAATTCTTAAAAAGAGTTGGTGTCGGTGTTGGATGGTCAGATACAGATGGTCTTCAGCCAAGAAGGGCTGGTTCTGTCCATGTAAAATCAGTGATGTGTTGAACAGGAGATACAGTCTCTGTGTTTAGTCAGCCTGCGCTTGCTGTTGGTATGGCATGTCTAGTTCTAGCATGAAGCCCACAAAAAGATGTTGGAAAAATAGGAGAGGGTTGTGAAAAGACTTGAAATAAATGTTTTCTTATTCTTACAGCAGCCTGTTTAGGGAGCTCAAAAGATATATATATATATATATAAAATTATTGAAGTGAAGGGGTAATGTGATCATAGTAATTAAGTAACTATATGGGAAGTACAAATCTGGTAATAATGCAGCAGCCAGGCAATAAGGAGAAGCTAAAAGCCGGATTGATACTAAAAAATTATATGCACTGCATTGTGTGGTTTTTTAAAATAGTAACTACTGAAACAATTTTCCAAGAGTTACCGTAGACTTCTGTCCATAGTATTTCTTAAATGAAATGAATGTCTTTTTAAAAATAATTTGATCACAGCTGTTGCACTCAAATTAACAAACCAAGGAACTTAAGATGCCAGAGTATATGGTCACAAGGTTACATCAGGTTATTAAATAGACTGTGAAACTTGCCAAGTGTCATGCAAGCATGGATTTGTTCATTTCTGCCTGTACCATGGTTGTTAGCTCTTGAGTTATGATCTCACATCTTTATGCTACAGTGATTTTCAGACCAAGTGTTGCTGTATGCCAGATTTTTCATTGTCCCTGTTGGGTTTCAGCAAGAGTAGTAGTAGAAGAGCAAGATCTGGGGTTTCTGGGCTGGCTGTAAATTTAGCCTGTAATCTTCTGTGGAGCCAAACATTTGCTTCACATTTGCAGGCTACTGAGCATTTCTAACTAATACTTGAATTAGTGAAGTTTGTGTATAGACCTCAACCATGAGTTGAGAACTAAGGGACATGAGGGGACCTGTTCTTGCATAAACAGGCTGTCAGGAAATGAAAAAATACTTTATTGTTATCTTAACCATGTGATATAATGAATACTGACTATTACAGGTATGATATATACTCATTCATTGTTCAGAGAATCTGAGTGAAAGGAACTTAACAGATGGCAAACAGCAGTATCTCAGATCTCTGTAACCAGTGCTCAGCCTATTAATATCTGAGGTTTCTATATGTTGGGTAAGATTTCTTGCCTTCTTTCTTCCCTTGTTCTCCAGGCTGTCCTGGGTATTTTCAGTTATGAGGTTTTGTAGGAAAAGGAGTGTAGTACAAGAGAAAAAAAACCATTTTGTTATTTTACCAGTAGTATTAAACTATCCAATAAGGGTGAATGTTTTACTGTGTCTCCTTTCCAAAGGCTTTCCTGCTCTAGTTAGGCACAGTGATGCAAACGGGAAATAATATTAAACACCTCCGTGTTCCATAACTGATTCAGCGGTCCACGTATGTTGCTCAAAAATGCTCAACTATTGCGGCAGTTCAGGTAACGTTCCACTTGGTCTTTACCAGGTGATGAAATGGATATTGTGTTATGAACTGGGAACCTCTTTATTGTCCCCATCAGAGCAAAGTTCAGCGTGAATCTGAAATTCAAGTTGGATCCTTTGAAGGGTTCTTCAAAGGAGTTGCTAATGTTTTTGAATATTATATGCTTCTTATCACTGATGTGTTTTGTCTTTGTTTCTCAGCCTTTTCTGTGTATGCTTTTATTACAGCACACGTCCCATGGAGATGGACGGCAGGAAGTTTCCTCTCGAACTGGGCGCTCTGGAGCTCGCTGCAGGAACTCTATAGCTTCCTGCGCAGATGAGCAGCCGCATATTGGAAATTACAGACTCCTTAAAACGATTGGAAAGGGGAATTTTGCAAAAGTAAAACTGGCAAGGCACATCCTAACTGGCAGAGAGGTAAAGCGATATGGGTGTAAACAGTAGTGAATTGCAGTAAGTGTGAAGGTTCTCCTAGAATAGCATCATCTAAGACTGTGAATGGTTAGCACATTTTACTAGGGATATTGCCACTGGTGCAGAAAAAAATAGAAATAGAAAACTAATTTTTTGGGGTAATGATTACAAAACAATTTATCTTGAGAATGGTCTCTTAAAATTGTGTTTTTGCCAAGTTCCTGTCCAACTGAATTGTGTTCAAGTCTGTTACTAGAATTCTCTGATAAATCCTCCATTCTCAAAAATGGGCTTAGTTTATGGCAATTAAATAAGCTTGCTGGAAAGACTGCCTCTTGATGTCTCTATACTGCACAGTGCAGGACTGTATTGGAAGGGAAGTCAGGAATGAGAACTAATACGCTTGGTTATGGTGCTCTGCTTGGTGTGAGTAGCCCAAATGCAGTATTTCTTTGCCAAAGCAGTGTATCTCCCAGGAGTTCTGCTAGTGTCTGCAGTGCTGGGCAGCCTTGGGAACACACTCTAGTTAATTCAGAGCTGGTTTATGTGTCTGTTTATCAGTGTTCCATGGTATAGACAAGCTTTCTCTTTTATCTCTTAATAGTGTCTAACTTGGCTCCATAATTAGTTGCTGCATGCCATTGCAATGTAATTAATAACTTGCACTTAATGATGGTTTTGATTTTGTGAGCTATAGTCCTGCTTGCTTGTTACGAGAAGGTGTTACGAGAAGGTGTTTCTTGGTGCTGTTTTATTAATAGCAACTCTGCATACTGAAAGAGGGAGAAATGCCTTGTTGACCTTTTCTTGACAAACCTGTCTAATGAAGTAAATGTTTGCTGATACCACCAAGGACTTTTAAAAGAAAGCTCTGTGGCTGACTGCAGCGCTTTAAGGGAATTTTTTTTTCTGAGCTAATACAGAGTTCAGTAGCACTAGGAGGAACAGAGTGGACATAATTTTGCAAGGTATCAGGAGGTTTTTGGGTTTTTTTTCGGTTTTTTTGGTGTTTTTTTTTAAGCTGACAGTTCCAGTGATCAGCAGTTGTCTTCTGGTGTTAAAGTTAGTGCTCATTTGTAGACAGAGTTTTTGGTTAATTGCTTTTCGCTTAAGTTCCTCCTCTTTTTACTGATACTTAACACAGGAAATGCAAGTACTTGGTTAGTATTTCTTTGCTATTATAGGTATAGAAGTTGGAGATGGGCATCATGTGTCACATGTTGCTTTGCAAAAATTAAAGTTTATTTTCTTACTTGCACATAACTGTGTGTTGGCCTCTGGTTCATTACTTTTGTTTGAAATTTTAATGAATAAAGTGACAGTGTAAGATCTTTGGCCAAATTTGGAAAGATTTAAGTACTAAGTTTCTTTAACTTTCATGGAATGGATGTTGTTAAATCAATTCAGAGCATAAGTACTTTCCAGGATGTGGGCACTGGTCCTGGTTACCTAGAATGAGTGACATTCCTTTGAAGGGAATGATTAAGCTAGTTGTATAGGAATATCTTGAAGATATTTTGAACTTTTTTTTTTCTTTGAAAGAGAAATGAGTAAAAGTTTATCTTCTTGCTAGGTGAACTGTGCAACATTGATAGTAACTACATATTTTAGATGTGTATGACCAGAATTGTTCACAATATTCAGGACGATGATTTCCTGGTGTCATTAATTTACAGAAGTATTTATCTGGTCAATCTTTAGATTATGCTAGCCTTTTTCTTGGCTGTCATGTTGATGTTTTTTCATCAGCAGCAGCACCTTGTACTTGGTTGAATCTTGCTTATTTTGCTAACTAATCTCCAAGGTTGTTTATATCAGTTTTCCATTGTATTTGATGGTGCATCTTAACTTGTTCAACAGACTTAATCATTATGGTTTGACTTCCCATGCCAAGGCCACTGATACAGATCTTAAACGAGATGAGTCCCAAGTCTTTTCCTTGAAAAACGCTCACATTTTTTTCCAACCTGATATCTCTTTAGCCTTTTTTTTTTTTTTTTTTTTAATTAAAAAGGCTCTGTGCACATTTCAGCTTATCTAGTTCAATTATTGCCATGCATCCTCCTAGATGAGGCTTTACAGTATTCCGGATAGTCATATCTTCTGTGTTCCCATTGGACACAATTCACTGTAGGAAAATATGTTGCATTTAGCCCTTCTGTCTGTTCCCTTGTTTTTTCCTTGCAAGTTTCGAGCTCAAGAATTTTATGGTAAATGGCTCTACTAGCAAATAAAAAAGTTAAGTCTGATAATTTCTGAACTTGTGCTGTCATTTTGTTCTTGATAGATGTTAGAAATCTCTGCATTGACCAGGCAGCACCCATCTTCCTGTATTGGTGATTTCCTGCTTTAGACACTCATTCCTGATGGCTGTCCTGTCGTTGTTCCTATTTTTTTTTCCATCTTATGTATCAAAACCTAAAATAAAATACCTAGCTTTGGGAGTCACACTTAAGTTGGTTTTGATCTCTACTGTATCCTTGTTGTATTTAAACCCTACTTATCTTTGTGTTATCTATGTGGCTATTCCTAATGTCCTTTTAAGTGTCTGGTTCGGTTTCGCTTTATGGCAATTCCTTCTTTATATCTCTGTGCTGATTAACTTCTAAATCATGCAGCAGATCAGCACTTTTTTGTCACTTCTTGGGAGGAGGGTATGTTTGTTCAAGCATTCTTCTAGGGTAGTTGCTCATCTCCTTGCATCTGGAGTCCTTCCCTATGGATTTCCCTGTTGCTTGAGATACAGCTTTCATGTTTCCAGCAGGAGTAAGTTCCAGGACTTTTGTTCATTTCCATCTTTAGTGAGTCTGCAGGATGTATGATGAGAGCCTAGCCTCAAATTACAGAAAGAGGAAAAGCCCTTCAGGGGATGATTCAGAACATCAGCCTAACCTGGGGGGTTGAATTGTCCTGCCAAGGAGTGCATAGCCTTCTGCTCACTGCACTAGGTCTGGTGTTTGGAAATACACTCCTTCGAGATCCTCTCTCTAGGAGAGTATTATTTGTAGTCTGTCTGCCCTTTCAAAACCAAGAATCTTAATTGTAAATCTGCTTTTGTTAATTCTTTGACTTTAAGCCATTTATTTTCGGTTGTAATTTATCAAAGGTTATTTCCTCTGACAAATGTTCCATACTTGCCAAATTTAATCTAAAAGATAAAACTACTTTTTGCTGTTACCGAGGTGGTTGGAATCACAGCCAAAAATACACGGATCCTTCTGTTCATTAAAGGCATGTGTACAGTTAATAGCCAGGAAGTTGAAGTTTCCTAGTGAGATGGGATTCTTTCAGGATCCAAGTCTGACTCCAAGGAATCTATTGTCATCTTCTTTCTGTTCTTCCCTTGGAAAAAAGTGAAATTTAAGAGAGAGAAAACATTATGAATGGTAGCAGTTTGGCCAATTTGCTTGATGTCTCGACTTTGATTGCTTTAACTCCGTCATCCAAGCCATGTAGGAGGAATGTTTTAAGTCATGTTACTGTGAATGGTGAAAGCAAAGCAATTTTAATTCTGCTAATGATCTTGCACAGAATATCGTGGCTGATGCAATGGTGTAACAGTGTAGGTGAACTTGCATTCTTCCATCACTGGCCATAGCTCGCAGTGAAACCATTCCAGGTTTGTGTAAAAACAGCGAAGTTTCTGCTTTGGAAGGCAGTTTGCGTTATTAACTATGCTTAGTAAAATGGAGGATTTTCTTTCTCAGGCTTGTCAGAGCTATTCTTGAGGGCAGGCTCCCTTTGCCTGTGATTTGGAGACCTTATCGAACAATTTCAAATCGCTCCCTGTTCTGATGATGGGTTCAAGCTCTCAAAGTCAGTGTTAACACATTGTACTCTCAGTGTTCATGTGGATAGGAATTCTCAAAATTCATCCTGCCTTTAAGGCTATAATTAGTGCACTGAAGAGGCCTGCGAGTTCACCTTTCAGAAAATTGAGGTGTGTACCTTCCTTGTATCTCCAGGGCTGAATTTGCTGGTGTCAGAGACCTCTCTGATCATCAGGCACCAATGTGCAGTGAGAGAGGTGACCTGTGTTTTGCTGAAACCCAATACCTTAAGACTTCATGGTTTGAAACAAGTTTACATCTTTCACAGATTGATCAGAATTTTATGGCCCAGAACACAAATGCAACTTTTACTGAGTGGAATGCACTTATCAAGCAAACAGCTGTGTTCTGTGGTGTAAGTAATCTTGAGACACCAGGTGACTTTCAGTTAACCTTTTCTGCTGTTGAAAAAGGCAGTGGTCACTCTACATCCAGTATGGATTTAAAAGAGATTGCACGAAGTGGGTAGCTTTGTTACCTTTGTGACAATAGTTCAATAGGTGTAAAGGTAGAGATAGAAATCTTTCTTGGTTTCATACACAGCTGCTAATATAAAAATACCTATTGCTTAATGTGTTTATCTCTTGTTTGTATTTTTGAAATGATTTCTCAAGGTTTTGCAATGGAATTTTGCCTCGGGAAATAGTGATCTTTAATTTCAGCATACCTTAGAAGAAAATACTCCCCAAAGCAAACATATGGCTTCTTGGTGACATCTCATCATATCTTGCATCTAGAAAGGCTCAAAATAAATCTTGAATCTCAGTCTCAGAAAACACCATATCCATCACAGAACTATGTGGTGCACTCAGGCACTGAACACTGTTTTCTCTTACCTTCTTCGTCATGACAATCCATCCATTTGAATGTAGTGAAAGAAAATCACTTTGATATAAGTTAGATTCTGTATTCCATATGTTGCCAACTCCAAGTTAATGAGATGACAAAAGTATCACTAAGTGATACAAGGAAATGGGAGCTGTGGCATGGGAAGGAGCAGCGTTTGCTATTTGAGACAAATATTCAAGGGGAATCGAAAGCCCTTGCTTCACACCAGTAAGGTATTATAATCAGCTGAGTTGCAGCATCCAGCTTCTTTGAGAGGCACCATCTCCTTGGCTTCTGCAGAGTTTTTTCTGGTATGTTTAGTCTCTAATTTAGAAAGGAAAAATACCAATTGGCATGTAACTTTCTAGAAAGATTCCAATTTCCTGTTCTAACTCATCCTGTCTCCAAACTGCATCACACTGAAACTCATCTCTGTTGCCTATTCATTGCCTTAGATCTTCAGGTTCTGACTAGTTACCATGGTACTGAATTTTTCTTTTGATTATGTTGTGAAATTTTTTTGTTCTTTAACATGTGTCAGGGAGTGTAGTGAGAGGACAAGGGGTAATGGTTATAAGCTGAAAGAGGGGAGATTTAGACTAGACATTAGGAAGAAGTTTTCACTGTGCGGGCAGTGAGGCACTGGAACAGGTTGCCCAGAGAAGCTGTGGATGCCCCATCCCTGGAGGTGTTCAAGGCCAGGCTGGATGAGGCTTTGAGCAGCCTGGGCTAGTGGAGGGTGTTCCTACCCATGGCAGGGGGGTTGGAACTCAATGATCTCCAAGGTCCCTTCCAACCCAAACCATTCTATGATTCTATGACTTCTGAGCAGTATTTACTGAAAAGATGAGAACCAGCAAAAGAATGAACTTAAACAAATTGTTGTACTACAGGCAATGGGTTTTTCTTAATGCAGAAGTGATATTTCTTTTCATATCCATCAGGGAGCAAATTGATACAAATATTCAGTGAATTTTCAAAGGAGAACTTAGTTCTTGCAAAAATCTGTGTGGAGGTACTTTCAGTTTACTTTGAAATCTCTGCTTTTAGAAGCATCTTCAGAAACTGCCAATGCCCAGTCAGTACTATGTAGCCTGTTGTGTAATTATACTGTGTAAATACTATCTGTAGGCACACTGCTCTCTGTCAGGGCACTGGCTGGTGTTGGAGCTTCCACTGTAATAATTTGATGGTCGTAATGTCAAGCAAAAGAATAAGTGAGATTCTCGTCTGAATATGCTTAAAATACCGGGGTTTTTTCCACTCTTCTATTTAGTTTGTTGCAGTAGAAGTAAATTACACTTTGGCTGTTAATTCTGAATGTTTTTAGTTTCAATGCAAGTGCATAATTTGCTGAAGAAACATGAGTGGTTTTTGTGTAATTTTCATGTTTTCTGTTTTTGTACTGGATTTTACCATCTTGTAATAACACTGCATTGTTCATATGGTGAATACTGATTATGAACTCTTCCTTTAGGTTGCCATAAAAATAATTGACAAAACACAGCTGAACCCAACTAGTCTACAGAAGGTAGGTTTTTACATTTACTCTTTCAACTGTATTGTAACTTGTTTCATTTCACCACCTACTTCCATTAAGCCCGAATGCCTGTGCTGGAGAATCTGAAGCATTGCATACCTTGCACACATCTAACTACTGTATTTAATAACTAGTTTTGTAACAGATACTTCTGACAACTCTGCAGTTCAAGATGAACTTGTACAGAGCTGTAAACTGAGAAAACAGTGGTGTTAGCCACTTCCTTTGCCTCCCAAGCATAGCTAACTCTGTAGAGAGGGCGTTCTTGGTTTGCTATCATGCCTCCATGTCTCCTTCATGCTGGTCAGTTTGTTGAAATCGCAAATACAAAGCTTATGTTCTGTCCTCTTACTGCCTCTGGAATGAAGGGCAAGCAGTATCTATGCCTTTCATGTAGTTTGCAGCAGAAAAGGTGTTGCAGTTTTATGCACCAAGTTGGAGCGTCGCTATTCTGGTTTCTTCCCTCTAGCCTCAAATGTTTAATGTGCTGTTACAGTTGTATTGCCTTATCTATTTTAGTAAGCAGTGATAAATCCTACTCTTTCATCAATCAAGCCAGTCTGCTTTGGAGCACCTGCAGGAAGTACATTTAAATGTCACTTTTACCTAGGACTTTTCTAACTCTGTCCTTTTAAGTGCTGCAGTCAAAGGCTTTTTGTTTACTTTTGGGTACTTTGATAAAAAACCTCCTTGCAGTATTTCTGTTTGAACGAGAGACTACCCAGAACCTACCTGCACACAAAATGAAATAGCATAACCAGAGTAAACTGGAGAATATAGACATTTGAATTTTATGCAAATACTAAAAAAGTTGTGTGACAAGATGTTTTTATCAAAATGAATGGTGCAAAAGTAAATTGGAAAAACACACAAGTTGTTACATTGTATGGGTTGGTTGAGAGGCAAAGAATAACCTACAGAAAAAAGACTTAGTCATCTGTAGCAACTTCTTACTGACTCTGTAGACTGGCTAAGGTAATGTGGTTCAAGTTCTCTCAAATTTTTTTTCAGTTTAATCCTTGAGGTTATTGGTAGTTGCTGGGTAAGCAGGGAGGAAATGAAATGCAAATTAGGTAATATGATGGATTAGATAAGGGTGATTTGTGTGGCAGATCTGTGCAACTTGGAATACCTGAAAAAACTGTTAAATGCTTGAAGCACTTGGAAGAGAAACAAAAGTTGTGTGATATGAAGGGGAGGGGTCAGGGCATGGGAAGAACACTCAGAGAAAAGTAGAGAGGCTGTTTTCAGACAAAAATGTAAAATCTTAGTTCTTCACGTGGTGTTATTTTGAGATTGGGCCGTAATGCTACCTTGAGCTCATATTCAGGTACAAAGCAAACCTTTTACAAGTAAGTCACAGGTGTTCAGTTGGCAAGGTGTGCAAGCTGGAAGTATGCTTGTTGGCCCTTTGCTTCCTGGGTCTCAGCCAGATTGGTGTCCACTTGTCTCCATCTCCTTTGTACTTTAGTTTTTATTGAGAATTTATAAAGTGTTATTTGTAAATTGTTCTTGTCTACCACTGGGTTCCTTAAATGTGAGTCTGGAAGAGTAGCACAAAATAGTGGGTAGAAAACAGATCAAATTTGGGGAGGGGGATTGCTAATGAGTTCACTTCTCTGAGCTCATTTGTTATATAAGCAGAGGAAAAATTTAGCAATATATATCAGTGTTCTCAGTTTAAAAATTTAAAGTAATTTTCTTAAAATTAAATGCCTGCTTGTCATAGTAAGCAGAGTGAATGCACAATGCACTACTTAACCAGTTTTGTTTTACCAAGGCTTTTTTTCCAAACTCGTACCCCTTTTCCCCCAGCACTGTCAGCAGTGCCATAGCCTTGGTTCATTTGAAGTCAACTGTGCACACGACCTGTAGATGCCGGGGAAGCCAAGATGGAAGTGCTTCTGATCTTGCACTTCTGGAGAGAGCGATAAAATATTTGGGGTATGGTGGCGAGGGAAGGGCTGTGCCAAGAAGAGGGTGTGGTATGCAGTGTCTCAGCTGCGGTGTACCTGCATACCCTAGTCATCCTTAGGGGGGGAAACAAATGGTGATTAAGGCTACTGGTTCTGATTTATTTGTATTATGTCTTCCATGCCGATGCTTCAGCTGCCAGAAAGAAGTTAACCTTAAGGACTTGCTTTGCCTTCTGGAGCAGTAATTCTTGGTATGGCCTCGCAGTAAACTCTGGGCGGCTGCTCTCCTGACAGCTCGATATTCAGCAGCGCAGCTCTTCAGAAGAGTCAGGTTTCTTGTCTGCTGCTGAGGAAGTCTGCGGTAGCCACATGCAGCTAGTCTTAACTGTTGTTTTAGGACCTGATTACTACTGTGCTGCTTGTGCTTAGTGAAGAGGAAACTATAACCAGTACTTCCCTGCTTTGAAAGAAAGGGAATTCTTAGAGCTTTTTTCCCTGTGCTGTTGGTGTTAGTCATAATTGCTATTCTCCACAAATGTACTTGTGTACCCGGTTCCAGTATCAGTCTCACTGGAAACAAGTGTTGGTGCTGGAGTAGTTCACTTCCTCCTAGACAAAAAAAACCAAACGTGTTTGTTGCTTTTTCTTTTGAATTAGCAATGCCATTACATGTAAGGTTTTAATAGCAAGCCCATGTAATAGCACTAAATTGCTTCTCGTTCTCTTTTTTTAGAACTTGGCTCCTCAGCCAAATATTTTTGTTCATTATGTGCAGATGTTTTGCTACTTGTTTCGGCCTTTTTTTTTTTTTGTTAAAGCTTTTTGAAGTTTTTAAACATCGATTTTACCATGCACCATGTCCTTTCTGACCATGTATTTATCAGTGTTTTTAAAACTGCAAGAAAAGGCTGAGAATTTTAAATGCCTAGGCTTTGCTGTTTATAACAAGCATTTTTTTCTGTTTTTGTTTTGTAGTTTGAGGCAAATTTGTATTGTGTAAAGGCTTCCTGCTTGAGGCTCCTATGTAGGGCATATTTCAGTGAGCAGTTGTGAGGAGGAGCCTAGTACAAAGGTAAATCTTGAGCTGGCTTGGGATAACATCTTTAAAAAACCCTCTCCTTTTGGAGGGAAGGAGGCAGGATATGCTGGTGCGCTGCCGCTGACTTGCTTTTTAGCACACGGAATTTTTTTCTATTTTTGAAATAGTTTGTTACTGAAAGTCTTGCAATAGCTAATGCAGGAACACTTCCAATCTGTCTTTTGCTGTGTTTGAAAAGAGTTGGCTTAAAAGATGGGTCCTTCTTTCCCCCCACTCCCTTGTTGTTTTGGATGTGTCAGCATAATGAAGTTCAAGTAAAAATGATTCAAGATTATTCCTCAGTATGTGTCTCTGCTTCCATTGCTAGTTTGTTGGGGTTTTTTTTGCTCAGTTTGTCAGCTAGCCGTATTAATTAAGTGTAATTCTTTCCCCATATCTAACATGGCTTACAGTCAAAGGACCAGACCACAATAAAGCTGAAAGCCATTTGTTTGGCAGATTAAGGATGTTTATAGGCATTGTAAACATTTGTAGAGCTCCTGTTGACGGAAAATGAGCTGTTCAACAAGTTGGGAGTAGTTTCTAATCTTGGTATTAGAAATTAAACTGATAAGCACTGGTTTTAGTTGATAGTTTGCCTTTACGGTCTCATTATGACAAGTAACTTCCTAAAACTAAGATGATAATTTTCTGAATTGAGAACCTCACGTTATGTCTGCTGATGTTACACCTTCTTCTGCATTCCTGTGGCAGAGAACCTGGGATGTGTGGGTTTTTGTCGTACCTGGCTGTTTGCAATGAATTTTACTGTGTGATGAGAATTAGTAATTTCGTAAACTTCATTTGCAAGAAGTTGATGCGTGTAATATTTTGGGGGAATGAAATCTGGGAAACCTTTTTTCAGCATACTGTGTGAAAGGTGTGTGGTGTTTTACATTCTATTCCTCTGTCAGACTATAATACATAACACAGTGTCAAGCATTTGCAGATATCCCTATGGAAGCTGCTGCCTGTGTCAAAATGCCAAACGTAACATTAAACTGACTAGGGGAGCACAATCTGAAGTGCATTTATGTAACTAAAATTATAATAAACAATTGTGTGATGTTTGTATCCTATTCTCAAGTATTTTTATTTTTAATTTCATCTGAAACAAAAAGAATATTTTCTAAAAAGCTTGTTTCTAGTCACCCACTTTAACAAATAGCTTGTATGTAGAAGCTACTTTTTGGCATGCTTCACTTGGATTAGTAAACAAGAGTAGTCCTCTTGTGGACCAATGTTACATTTAGGACAGCCCAAAATATGTTATGGGCCTGACTTTATCACATTGGACAGTAAAAGTGTACAGTGTACAATGGAGGAAGTAGCTAGCTCCAGCCAAGTCAGCATACTTTATTAGAAAAAAAATATTAATTTACATGATGGTACTGTGAATTTTAGCCTCGTTTTTACTGTCTTATTCTATATTGCCCTTGGTTGAGTGTTGTTGTTTGGTGGCACCAATTATTACTTTGCCTATATTCCCATACTTAATCCTGTGAGTGTATTTTTTTTTCAGGTGGGTGAGGTGATGATAAATAGGCTAACAGCTGAATAACAGCCAAGGTCTTCATCTGTGCAGCAGTGGAGTAGCCCTTGGAGAAAGTCTGACTCAGCAGGCTTTAGCTGAATATTGGGGGTGGAAGATATCAACAATCAATTGAGAGTGAATTAAGCAAACTGTCTTCAAAACTTGAAAAGCTGACCAGAGGCTTTCGGTCATATAAACTGTGTGATTAAAAGTATAAGTGGAGTATTCAGAATATATTATACACCAGTTCAGCTGAATTGAATTAAAAGTAAGAAAAAAATAGCTATAGATTCAACTGCTTTTGAATTTCTGATGATCAGAGAAAGACGGTGAAGTAGTCTACCTTGTCTAATTATTATGAAGAAGCTCCAGAAATAACATAGTTAAAGAAAAAGCAATTTACGTACCTCTCTGGAGAAAAAAGAAAACATGCACACATAGTTTTTTGAGAGTCTGTTTTGCATGGCCAAACGTTTACTTGATCAGTCAATCCTGATTTCGTTTAAGCAGCTTCTCATCTAGCAAAGTGTCAGGCATAGACCTGGATAATGATAATAAGATAATTAAAAGCATTTCAAGTGTGCCATTCACAGCTGTGGCTGTAGTGTGGGGGAGGAAGTATGTTGGGCAGTGCAATGAGGGTTGCTCCCCAAATCGTAGCCTTTACAGAAACATCAGAAAGAAGGGAATGGTTAGAACTGGTGTCCAAATTGTGCTCTTGTTTTTTTTAGTTTTAATTTTTTAAAAAATTTATTTAAATTCATCTTCCCTACCCCCCTGCTTATTCTTTCATTAAGAGACACAGGCACAAGGATTTTGTTTTGTTGACTCTTTGGTTGTTTTCTGTTTGTTTCCTATTTTGCTTATTTTAAAATTATTTTTATTGAGTAAGTACACCTCCAGATTTTTGAGTCATTAGTAATACGTGTAGACATCCTAAATGTCTTCAGTTTATCTGAAATCTGACCTGAGGCAAATCTTGCAGCAGCACTTCTTGCTGCTTTACTGTTAATAACAATGCTGTTATCTCTTATTTACAGAACTCTTTTCTTTTTTCCCATGTCTGCATTCCTGTGGAGCTGTGGGCTTTAATTTTGCTTTAAGTTCAATACAATCTGTTATGTTACTGGTATTCCTGTGGAAGTTGGTGTTAGGTTTATAATAAAACCACTTGATTACTCCCGCTACTTGAAGCATGCTATTAGAAAATAATGTCAACCCTCTGGAGTCTTAGGCTGGCGTGGGGCGAGCTGCAGAAGAAGAACAGCTATGCACTTGACTGCCATGTAGCGTGCTGCCTAAAAAGAGAATTCTTTGGGTTTTCTGAAGATGGTAGTATTTGCACTTTGAGGTTTTTGTAATCGTTTTTTATCTTGTGTCTTTTCTGGGAGAAGTGGGACTACTTTTACTTCATTTACTATTAACCAACTTCATTGAAAATAATGTTTTATATTGCAGTAACAACACCTGTGGCATTTTTTGGTATTAGCTTATGGGTTTATGGGCATCTTTTAATAGTCTTTCGCAGAAGAGGGTTTTCAGAGGTGAAAATAATTAGCACCTGATCAGTATTAGACTTTGCTTTCATTTGCAGTGTGTTAAATGTCGTTCCCATATTATCGTCTGGTTGCAGGAGGACAGAGTTTGCTTTGTGTGACAGGCAAAGGTGAACTCTTTGGAAATAACTACTCAAGCAGGACTCTTCTCACATGGGTGTTGGTGTCAGGGGGAAGAAGATCCTTGCAGTCAGTATGCGGTCTCTGGATGCAGCACCGTTGATGTAACATCATGCTGCAGCCTGACCCTCCTCACCCATCCTGCCATAAAGGATGTGCTGTGGTGGGCAAGGCAGCTGCAGCTCCAACTTAGAGATAGACTGGTTTTATTTGGGGAGCTGTGTGTTTTGTGAGATTTTCTGTTAAATTCCTGGACCTTGTGCGTTAATCTGTGTTAAAACCAGTGCTTGCATGAAGGGAAGCGGTACAGTCCTGTTGCATAGGAAGGTGGATGGTGAAGGGGATGGGAGCAGGCTGCTTGCTCCCTTTGACACTGTATCCTTGAAGTAATGGTTTTTCTTCTGTCTGCTGAGGATTGTTGGATCAGGAGAAGACTATTTGTTTTCTGCATTCAGCATGTTGTGCTGGCCGAGCAGGCTTGGAGGCTTGATGTCTGGTGGTGAGAGTCAGTGGGGCTGTGGTGACAAACCCAGGACTAGATGCTACTGTGCCTCGGTTGCCTTACAGGAACATTTCTGCAGGGCTGAAGGGGAGCCTTGCTTCACCATCTCTCCTTTAAACTTACTCCTTGGTGGCATAGTTGGATAACACTCTTTGTGCAATAAAAGCAGCTGTTTTTTCACCTGCGAGTTCTTGTTGTAGCACAGTAATTCCCTGACTTTAACGACCTACTGAAGAGTGGTGAATTTATTCTGGTAATGTAGCACAGGGGCCTTCAAAAGGTGCTCTGGGGATGGTTCCTGAAACTGTGGAAACAATGTTTTCTATGAAAGGGTGAAAGACTGGGTGAGATGCACTGACTAGCAAGAAGCTGCGTGGACTCATGATGCTCCTCTGGCCCCAAAAGTCTAGGAGCCACAGAGCTGGTATCACTTCTCTCCTGAGCTGTCTGGAGTGCTTTGTGGGTGCTTCAGGTTTTTGAGGGTTCGTTTATTTGGGGAGGGGTGTTAAAAGGAGCAGGCATTCAGCTCTTCTCTTCAGTAAGTGCTTATTTCATGAACTTCATTGAAATGCTAATAGCAAGGTTTGCCCTTTGTGTTTAAATAAGTATATCAAAATGATCAGGCTTTAGGAAGAATGGGTGTTACCTATTTCATTAATTTATTTCATGTTTTATGTTTATTTCAGCTCTTTAGAGAAGTAAGAATAATGAAGATCTTAAATCATCCAAATATAGGTACCTTGTTTCTTTCATATAATTTCCAACTCTGGAGAAGTGTTAGCATTTTCACTGTTACAATTGTTGTGGTATGAGTTTAAAAGATGATTCTGCACTAGGGTGTCGATTTACTGTAAAGTAGCAGTAACAAATACTTTTTCAGAGCCGTATGTTTAAAAATTTTTTTCTTGGTCCTGTTGCACAAAAATGCTGCTTGCACAGCTAAATGATAATTTTGCTCCTTTTTGGGTATAATATTGATTTTAACTGAAATCAAGCCCTCATTAAAAATAAGTATGAGCCAAAACCAAGAAGTGGTCAAGAAATTGTTCTGGGTTGTAATGATGCAGTGTTGTTACAGGTCTGTCAGCAAACTGACTGATAACTCGTTTGTCCTCACGAATGCTAGTTCAGTGCATAAAAATGGCTATTGCTGATGCTCAAATCTGGGGAAGTTCTGCTTAATTTAGTTACTTTTCCCAGGTAACAGAAGCAAAGTACTGTTTCTTGAGAAAACATTGTTCTGTATGACTTGACCAAGTGTATTACAGTGTTTCCCATTTAGGAAGATGAGACAGAAGAAGCTTCTTCAGAGTAATAGTGTGATATTGTCAAGCAGCAAGCAAATAGGGGTGTTTTTTTCTCTGACAGAATTCTCTGTGGGCTTAACATAACACTTATGCAACTAGTTAACTGATTAATATATGATTTTATTTTCTAGTGAAGCTATTTGAAGTCATTGAAACTGAAAAAACTCTCTATTTAATAATGGAATATGCAAGTGGGGGTAAGTACTGTGATGACACATGTAAACAAATTGCCAAGTGGGAGAAAGCACTTGTTTTCTTTAAAGTTTTTCTTTCTTTTTCAGCAAATATTAATGTCATGGTAGTATAAAATCTTAAGCAAAATCTTCAATATTCTCTAGGACTTCTTTTGGCAACATAGTTAATTATAAACTTCTAAAACCAGTTTCTGAACTTACTGCAACTTAATAATGTTTTCTTTGTTTGCACAACTCAAATTTAATGAGAATCTTTATTTGACTATTGATTGTTCCTGTCCGTAACAAATGCCAGCCTCATCAATTTATTGTATGCAGCTCCATACCTCTGGTGTCCTATTTTGATATTTGGTAAAAACATGTTCAGGTGAAAAATTTCTGTATTTCTTTATCTGTTGCTTTCAAAAGCAACTTTGTTTTTTTAGATGTCGATGACATTTGACATATGTTAATCACAGACATTCTGCTGTCAAGTATTGTTTGGCTTAGCCTTATGCTGTTTTAGGAGCAACTTGAAAATTTATTCCTGATTGCAGAGGGGGGAAAAAACCCACACATCATGCAATGTCAGATATTTTCACCAGAGCTAGAATTAAGGTATTTGGGCTTAAGTTACTCCTTGCTGCCTAAAACCTAATAGCACTCAGTTTGTCATTGTGACCCTTCAGCAGCAGCAGCTGGGAATCTCAAGTAGTTGAGGCTTTTCTTTAGTTTTGGAAGGAAAGAGACTTCAGAGAAAATCAGCATTGAATTCTGATTATGACATTAGATTATATGAAGTTTAACAAATGACTGTGAATCAGGTAATGATTCTTTACCTGCTGATGTTTTCTTCTAGCAGCTCCCTAAATGCTCAGACAAGATTTGTCTAAGCAGAGACAAAGTTGGCAAAATACCGTGAAAATATTGGTTAGTTCAGGTGTTTGTGGAGGCATCTCTGTGTGGTTTGATGGTACTCGAGTTAAAAGTGAAGTCCTATTGCCATCTAGTGATTAGCTTCTAGGAGGTAGAAGGGCCAGCGGTCCTCTGAAGCAGTGAGCATCTTTCTTAGGGTAATGGAGAGATACATACTGTACTGGTTTAAAAGGCTGTGAGCGGTACCTTTTTTGCACATGCTGTGTTATGCAAGACAGGAATGGCTGGTAATCTCAGGGGTAGGCATCAGTTTCCCATATATCCTCTTTGTCAAGGTACTGATCATGCGTGATGCGTGTGAAGACTCTGGCTGCAGATGAAAGAAACTATTGCTACAACTGCAACACTTTGCGTAAATTGGGGATATGTCTTTCTCTGGTGTAATTTTCCCTGATTTATGAACCAAGTGTTCAGGTTTGTTCAGGTTTGTTTTTGAAGAAACAGCTGTGAAATATAGCTGAGAGACTTGAGTGTTAAATAATACGCTACAGAGGGAAGTAAAGCTATTTTCTACAAAAATCCTGATGTTCCCTCAGATGTTGCTTTTCCTGCTGTATGACTGGGTTTTTTATTCCAATTTGGAGGAGTTGCTGCTTTTCAAAAATAAGTGTGATGTTCCTCAGCTCTTCCCTTGTGAGGTGGCTATCTGCAAAACAGTGGTTTCTTGCTCAGTAGATAATATTTAGACATTTGATCTACTTCTAACGTTTTTTTTATTAATTTTGCATATTAGCGAAGATTTTTTAAAACTGTGTATCGGTCTGGGTTTGTATGAGTTCTTATGTATGTGACTATTGTTTTTTAGTAAATAAAATGTGCTATGCTCTCACAAACATATTGAAGTTTCATGGATCAGTTGGCTGCACTTAAAGCTCAAACATTGTAGTCTGTATTGATGTGCTGTAAAATGACTGGATTGACTGATGGGGAAAAAAACCCAAAACACTACATATCTTTGGTTCTGGTTCAGTAATCTCCTTTAGTTGCCCACAGTCATACAACATTGGACTTGTTCAGGAGCAATCCTTCTTGAAGCATCTAACAGATCTGATGCTTGTGTGATAGATTATGGCAGTGTGTCCTGCTGTGCTCATTATTCTGACCTTCCTTGTGGGTACCTCTTCCACGCCTAGATTAAAGCTAAGATTTTTGATTTTGGCTAGAATATTTTTATACATGTGCACAAAGAAAAATTCTAGTACTGGTATGACCACATTTACAAATATCATCAGATGTTCTCACCTATGAAGCTTCTTTTTGTGGGGCAAAAGAAAACCTTGTGAGAAAGTTTGTGAAGGGGTACATGTCATCTTTATTTATAAAACCGAAGTATGGTGCTCAGTTTCTATTATAAATATTTGGAAGGAAATGGTTTTTTGTGTCTATATGCAGTCATTCATTAAGTCTTATTATTTTCTTGTATAAGAGGTGATAGTGTAGTAAATTGCATAGCAGTTGTGCCTTGTTCTCTTGAGCTAACCTGTAATCATAAACTTGAAGTACAGTCATTCCAGTGAAGCTGCTGTGGGCAACAGCTGGAGAGGAATCTCTAGATTCTGAAATCGGCATTAATGTGTCTTGTTATTGAATTGTAGGGGAAGTGTTTGACTATCTGGTTGCACATGGAAGAATGAAGGAAAAGGAGGCTAGAGCTAAATTTAGACAGGTATGTATAACATTCCTGTACATGAGCTTCCACCCTCCCCACCCTGTTTTTAATGATGAAATGAGTAAAAATACTGTCCTTTGCATTTGACTTCTAGCAGTGTTCAGCATGCTGTGGACTTGTAGCCATGAGTGAGAAAAAACTTGGGTTACAGTAGTACTTCGAAGGGGTTAGTAGACTATTCAGTGATGCTAGTTTCCTTAGCACTGTGTGCCAGGGTGTCCAGGAGTGACAGAATGCAGTGACTGCTTGATTTGGAAGTGTATTCTGTTCCAAAATTAATTTCCTCTGGATTGATTTCATATATCCTTAGTTCAGCTGGTCTGTAGCCTTTTGGAAGTTATTCAAATGTAGCAGACTGCAAACAGGCTGGTTTCAACATGCAGGCAGTGCATGTAACAGGCATCTGTACACATCCATCCACTTACATGACAAGATGCAGTTTAATAGTTCTAAAAAATCATGGAAAAGTAATTTCTAGGCTTGTTAGTTTAGCTTTCTTTATGATGGATAAACTGGCCTTGCACAGATGTTGGAGTTTCATTGATCTGTAAAAAGCATTTCCATTCTACAGTACAGCAGCATTCAACGTAACCAGATATTTTTGCATAACTAGTTAAAATTGAAATCTCTGCTCTCATAGCATCTGGAGTTTCATTTACAGATCTGATTGGTCCGATATACTTTGTTTTCTGCTCTTGCGCAGGAACTTGTAAATGCCTAGGTTATTTTCATCCCTTTGGTCACCTGGATAACCTAGATAATGTTATGATAAGTAATAAATATCAAAATTATGCTCCTGCTTAATGACACTTTAAAATAACGAATAGGAACAAGAGTGCTTTATTGAACGATATGCAGGGCTTTTAAACTGGTGAATTGTGGCAATGATGTGACAGTTTTGCTGTTGGAGGGGAGGATCTGACAGCTTCACTTCTTAAGTGTAGCCATACAAAAGTAGAAGAAATTTAATATAATATATGAGGCTTCCAGGAAATTAAGGACTTTCACAAAATGCCTTGTAAAGAAAACTTTTACCCTTCTCTAGTGTGGGTAGTGTGATCAAAAGGAACAATTTGGGAATTAGGAAACTGTGACACAACTGTTTTGCACCCTCTGTCTCATAGTAAGAATTGTGTGAAAGCAGTGTAAACAATGAGCTCAGAAGTAGCAGTGAATGTGAAGAAAAATAGAGACGTATTTAACCCAACATAAGGAGGCAACAAAAGCATTTCTGTGAAATCCTTGTTCTTTTGTTTTCTCATCTCTTTAAATCTTATAAATCTTTTGAAAAAAGAAAACAAAACAAAAACCACCAAAAACCAACCAACCAAACAACACAAAAAAAGCAGCTGCAGACTTCATATCCCCAGAAGTGATTTGTGATTTCTGGAGCTATACAACTTGATAGTAAGGAAAATTTTTCTTCCTCTTTAACAAAATCTTCTGTGTCTTTTTAAAGCTGCTTCCCTCCCTTTCGTATGCTGACAGGTAGAGAACTTTCCTTTGTGATTGAGGATTTCTGGTATGTGTTTCTGTGCTGTGTTGGGCTAGATGTGGTGGGTTGTGGAGCAGTCGTTCCCACTTCAGCCCTCTTCTAAATCCCAGACTGTTGCCTTGCTCTTTGTAATGTCACTTGAAGAGCTTCAGAGTAACTTGAGAGCATTTGCTGTTCTCTGTCAAATGTGAATGTTAAAAAATTCTACTGGTATGGTTCTCTGCTCTTTGTCCTCAGTTTCTTTTATCAGGAGTTGTGTGGAAAAAGATCTTGTATTAGTTCTATTGAAATTGCACGTTTGTTCGACAGTTACCTATTTGTTTTTCTAACAGTTCAACTCCCCTTTAAATAAAAGCTTGTGGAAACAGGTCAAACATGTTCTACAGGTACACTTAGTGCTTAATTTTATGGTATAATGTGGGTAGTACAGGACACATGTAACTTCAGTTTTCTAGAACAAATGTGAAGGGAAACAATTTAAAAGGTAGTTACATGCTGAGCCAGGTATTTGACCCATCAAAAGTTGACTTTATGTACTTTAGATTCTCAGCTAGAATTTTATTTTTTGTACTTTAGTAGACTAAATGCTATTCATAAAGATATGTAGATAGCCTCATTTGAATCCACTGAAACACACAGAAGTATATTTTCAGTTTCTTATAAGTCTTGTCTCCTGGCGTAGGCAGCTGTGCTCCATCTTCCCTCAACAGCTGACTTCCCGGCTACCAAGCTCAACCAATTTTAGAGGGCCTTGAACTCAAAGATGGGAGGTTCTTGAAAGCCTCAGAAGCACGAGTGCCTGGAAAAAAAGAGAGGACTCTAGTAATAAGCTGAGGAGGGAAACAGTAGGAAGAGCTCATTGCGCTTTGCTAGGGAGAAGAGCATGCACATGGGACAGAAGTCAGGCAACTTTGGTCAGAGCTCAGTGTTTATTAGATGTTAGGACTCTGGCTGTGGGACAGTGTCGAAGGAAACCAGATCTTACTGGGTTTACAGGTCATAAAACTATTCATTTCACCTTACTGTAGTCCCAGAATAGCTTCATATAGCTTCTAGCCATTGTTGGAGGGAGAACGCTCTCTGTAGACTTTTCATCTGATTCAGTGCAGCTGTTCGTATGTTAGAGACTTATGACATAATAGGGATTTCTTTTTTTTTTTTTAATTCACTAACTGGTTTAACAGGCAGTGGCTCTCTTTAAACTGAAGAAACAGTTGTGCCATGGTTTTGAGCTTAGTTCTTACAATAGGTTGTATTATATCTTGTTTTCAGATCATGTTTCTTCTTTCAGTAGATGTGATTTCTGGATCAAACAATTGTGCTTTATCTGAAGAGGCACTTCCTCTCTGGCAGGCAAAGAGCAGGGTTTGGTAATTCTCCCCTCTTTGCTTGTTAAAAAAAAAAAAATTCTCCCTTTTTGTTACACATACAGTTAATGTTTTTAGCAGGAAAAAAAGAGTTTAAAAGACAGTGATCATATTATTCCTGTCACGCTTGACAAGGAACACAGGAGAGGGTACAAACACTAAAAATACAGCCATGCTCTCTGCAGTTCTCCATTTCAAGCTCCTTTTGTGCAGCCATGTGTGAGAAATTCAAATCCAGAACGTTTTGCATTCTTTATGTCACCTTGTTTTTCTTCCCCTATTACAGGCTTCCAAGCAGTTCTGGTTCACTCTTACCATCCTTTTTTCCATAGGAAAATCTGCATATCTGGATAGGAATGAATGCAAAAATGGGAAGGCAAGACTCAGGGCAGGGGGTCTCCCAAAATCCATGTGTATTAATTCCCTCTCTTCCTTTACTGCAGCTGATGAGATCTGGCCTCCTAAAGTCTTCCCACTATTTCCCTGCAGATCAGTTTAGAATTTTTAATTCTGGTAGATGTTAGGACAGATCTTGGAAAATAAAAAAATCCACAAAATGCCTTTTACTTGTATGTTCCAGTTGGAAAACAAAATACTCATGGCAGTGTGGAAGGGACCTTGAGAGGTCATTTATCTATCCTTTTGTCATTTAATCCTTAATGAAGAATAGCTTCTCTGCCTAGAGATAACTTGTTCTAACTTGTTCTTTAAAACCTGTGATTATACAGATTTTTTTAAATCCCTCCCAAGAAATGTATTTCAATGCTCCAATTGTTACCTTTAGCAAAATGGTCTGCTGTTTCTTCCCCTTGTCTCCCCGCCTGCCGAGCATCAGTAGATTTCCCACACAAGTAGGTTGGGGTGAGGGGGCTGTCAGTGGAAATAGTGATGGAAGGTGGAAGGCAAGGGACTCAATCCAGTACAGCCATGCTGTGTGCTATTTTTCGTTGTTTTGACTGCTGATCTTCAATTATTAATGTCATACACATTGCATTACTTCCCTTCCATTTAGATGGGACTCGCTTCTGCAGTCTCTGTGCTATCCTGTTGCAAATCAGAGTAGTTCAAAAGCATCTCCAAAGGAAACTACTGATTGATCATCTGCTAGAACTTCCCCTGTAAGACAGCCAGAGTAAAAGCAGTCTAGGAGCGAACGGTATAGTGCCGTGTCTCTGCAGTCCCAAATAAAGCATGGGGTGTTTGTCATGCTGTCGGCCTTGGAAGCCCTGCAGAGTGAGCTTGTGACTGGTGCTAAAGTAATGGTAGCAGAGAGGAAAAGGAAGGGAAACCAAAAGAATGGTAGAAGTGGTGGCGTGGGAGCACTTTGGCAGTTTCTGTAAAAGGCTGAACTTGGTATCTGAAAGAGGGAGACAATACATAAAGGAACATGCAAAACCAGATAGGGAATGGAAATATTTCAACTTTTCATAGACTGCTTGTTTTCTAAGGTGGCATTTTGCATGTGTGTAATTCAGTAATACCCGGTCACAAAGATCATAATATTGGTGCTTAAGTTTTCAATGCAAAATTGACTGGTAGGTCAGTTCTTTGACCTACCAAGAACCTTATTTTCACCTACTCTAAATACTGAGGAGGAGAACCATTGGTTCTTACCAGCACAAGACGATCCTTATACTAAGGTGGCCAGTCTGATAATGAGTTACTTTTTGTAACAGTAATGATACCTCATCTTTCTGTGTTGGAAATCTTCTTAATCTTGAACAAAGAATGGAAATACATTTATTTAAGCATCGTTATTACATTAAATTATTTTTATGTGCAGTTCCACTTATTTTAAGAAGTCATAACATCTGCCTCAATTCTGACCATGTATGCATGACAATAAAATGTGTTCGACCGCATTTGTGATCCTGTAACAATAACACTTTATCCATCTTTTCTGTATACATAATGTTCTGCAGCAGTGCATATGACTCTAAAGCAATGTACTAGGACACTGTACTGTGTAAATAGCTAATATAGTTTGCTATATAAAGCAGAAAATACTTAATGATATCTGGAAATGACAATGGAAGACATTATTCCGTTACACTTGAGACACAGAGAGTTTTTTCCATTGAGCTTGCTACTCTTGTACAGTATAAAAAATACAATAAACCACATGTGCTTAGACAGCAGACCTCTGTCAGATGCACAGTTGCTTCTCACTGCCTAAGTTTTGACAAATAAGCTGTTGCCCGGTAGTTTCTCCAGTAGCTAAGCCCATTTCTTGCCATTTTCTCCCCATGCTGCGGCATGAAAAATCACCTGCGGAGAGGGACTGGAAAACTTCTGTCTAGAGGGAAAGCTTTTATAGCTGTTTACAATATTGGAATGGAAATACTTCAGTAACCTTTCTGAAAGTCATTGCTTCTACTGGTCTATAATTAGCCACACAGAAAAAACAAAATCCTCTTTCAAGTAGAGTAGAAACCAAATAGATCAAATAACAAACACCTAGGATATTTAACAGCTTTCCCCCAGATACGCTGGTCACTGTAGCAGTTGGTTACATAGCTCGGAATGGATAAGTACATGTCAACTTAGTAATAAATGTTGAACTTTTTGATTAAAACTTCCATTTCTTTGAGATGTCACTTATATAATTGGGCTTGTTTTCTGTCCAGATAGTATCTGCAGTGCAGTACTGCCATCAAAAGCATATTGTTCATAGAGATCTCAAGGTGAGTAGGAAGAAGTGTGTGAAGACTGTGTGCCAGCTTCTGTACCTATGGGTGTGATCTTTATTGTGCAAATAAAATTGTAGTGTATAGTAAGCTTTCTGGTGTGGTTTGGTTTTGGGGGGTTTTTTTGTTCATTTTTTTGGGGGGCTTGTGGGGTTTTTTTTGCATGTGTTGTAACAAGTTTTGAGGAATATTTACAGCATCAAACCATTTAAAATAAAAGGAAGAGGATTTGTAAGGCTTTTAAATATATTAATTTAATGGCTGCTGAAAGATCGCCTCTCAGCCTATGGTCAGATTCAAATCTGATGCAGGTCGGTGTTAGCTGAGAGGTCTTTAAAAAAACCAGCATAGTTTGATAGAGGTATGACAAGTTTTGGCCTTGAACAGAATGAACTATGTGGTGATGATGATGATTGTGATGATGAAACTGAAGTATGGCTTCTTTGTAGCCTGGCATGGAATGGTATATCCCTTCTTTAAACTGTGCCTTTTGTATTAATAATGTTGCTACATAACTTGTTCAAGATATCATAGCTTTGTAACTTAAAAACAACAAGAAACACCATAAAACCCCCAAACCAGCTAAATACCACCAACAAAAAAAAAACCCACTTGGAAAAAGTTTAAAGGTTATATGTATTACCAAACGTTTGCAAGAATGCCACATAAAGTATGGCTAGTGAGACTGTATCTTCTTTTCATCTTAATAGATCAAAAATATAACTTACAATAGCTCAGGATGCATTCCTGTGTAGAAAACATTTTACAGGTAGCATAACAGCTCCCATTGTCTGAAGCCATTGTACAGAGATTTTTAAAATAGGGGATATGTGAATGCTAGACTAAAGCATACCTAAAGACCTTGCAAGGAAGGGAATGTTAACAGATATTTCGGCTTTTTTGCATTTTAAGAATGAGTAAAATGATTAATAGCATTTTAAATCAAGTATTTTAAGTTCATCTTACGAACTATTCTTTCTCTTCCAGGCTGAAAATCTACTGTTAGATGCGGATATGAACATTAAAATAGCTGACTTTGGTTTTAGCAATGAGTTTACAGTTGGAAATAAACTGGACACCTTTTGTGGCAGCCCACCATATGCTGCTCCAGAGCTTTTTCAAGGGAAGAAATATGATGGACCTGAAGTAGATGTTTGGAGTTTAGGTGTTATTCTATATACCCTTGTGAGTGGATCTCTTCCTTTCGATGGACAGAACTTAAAGGTGTGTGTTTGAAGAACATGTTGGGTGTGTGTACCTAATGTTTTGAGTGATTTGCTACTTACAACTTAATGTCTGTTCTTCTTCTGTTACCAAGGAACTTAGAGAACGAGTGCTAAGGGGAAAATACAGGATTCCTTTCTACATGTCCACAGACTGTGAAAACCTCCTCAAACGTTTCCTGGTGCTAAACCCAACAAAAAGAGGCACTCTAGAGGTAATGCCACAAATAAGATGCATCAGAAAGCTAGACATTAGATTTTGCAAACTATGTTTTTGAGCTGTAACTTATTATTGTCATACTGTTTCTAAATATTTGGAGTGGGTTCGGGGGGCGTGTTGAGGAAAGCATATGACTTTTTTTTTTTTTTTAAGATTTTGTTTTTCTGGGGTTACAAGGCACCTGACCTCCTTAGTTACTTTCAAAGTGAATGTGAGACTACACTGCATATGTCGTATAACTTTTTCTTATGGTTACTTTGTGGATTCCTGCATTAATGGATGATCCACCCAGGGTATTTTCCACGTTTTCAAATGTGAACTGGAAGTATTGACTGCTAGGTTATGGTGTGTTTGCCTTTTGCCTGCATTTTAAACCATCATGGAGGAGAAAGGCCAAAACAGTACTGGCTTCTGAGGACTTCCATAGTCAAGCCTGGACCTGCTAGACTTGTCGCGCTGTTCCTGGTCTGTGTTATGGGCTTTTAGCTTTCAGCTATGTGCTAGAATGCGGCTGATTGGGAAGCAACTTGGCTTGGATGTGCATTGTTGAGTCTCCTCACTGAAGCAAAACAAGACTGAATATGTGCTGGGGCTTGTTCTGAAAAAGAAAAATTCGAAAAGGCCTTAGTTTTTGGTAGATAGGGGAGTTGTTCTTTCAACATCTTTTTTTCTTTGCTGGTAAGTGTACTGTACTAACAAATGCCTTTCTTTTATAGCAAATTATGAAGGACAGGTGGATCAATGCAGGGCATGAGGAGGATGAACTTAAACCTTTTGTTGAACCAGAACTAGACATCTCGGACCAGAAAAGAATAGGTAATCAACTGTTTTTCAGAATATGATACTGTTGGCGTGTGAGCGGTTTGTTTTTTTTCCCTCCACCACTCTGTATTTTTTTGCCATTTAAAAGATTAGTTACTTTTTCCAATATTGATATTTCATCAGGCTCGTGCTCTCTCACTTAATCGTTTTGTTTAAATGTTCCATTCTTTCTCTTGAACTTAAACACTCTGACAAGCCTAAACATCAGAGTATTTCTGTTACTTACAGAGTCTGTGTTTGGTTTTAGATATTATGGTAGGAATGGGTTATTCTCAAGAAGAAATTCAAGAATCCCTTAGTAAAATGAAGTATGATGAAATCACAGCTACATACTTACTGCTAGGAAGGAAGTCGTCAGAGGTAAGTACCATTCTTACAAATGCAAAGAAACAAAGCAATCAGAAGTGTCCTTAGCAAAGTTAGAAGCAAAAATTAAGTCAGTAACTATAGGCATTGCATTCCTTCTCAGAAGTCCATTACACTTGAAATCACATTGCTCTAATCATCAGTGTCAACTGTCCAAATGATGCTGTTTGTTTTCACCCTGATCTGAGACTCTTGCCTTTAGGCTCCCCAAAACTACCCTGCTTGCTCCACAGTTACTCCTCTGAAGGACTTTGTATGCCAGCTACTGTTCTGTCTAGTCTGGGAGCTCAAATGTGAATGTGCAAGCTGTTCTAAGAGAACCAAGGAGCAGGACCAGTCAACCTAAAAAAGTTCTTGCCTTCTAAGATTACCTTTCCATGTGATTGTGAGAGGGCTTGGCATAAGTAAGCTGTTCTTGGTTCCTCTGCTGGAGGAGTTGGGTGTGGTGGCTTCTACTAAATGTATCCTCTCTTCCTGCTATAATCTTAGACAACTCTGAGGAGAGAGTACTGAAAGTAGAAATGGATTTTCTCTATCTGATGGTCCTTTGAGGAGCTGCAAATTCCACTGAGTTTCACCTAAGATAGTTGCACAAGGATCTAAGAGAAGTTGGAGCCTCTAAGCAACTTCATTGCTGTCACAAAATTTTCTATGTACCAGAGCCATCTTCCTTCTGCCTCCCTATTATTGCTCCCATAATGTGGTGGATGTTTAATTTGTTTTAATATTCTCATTTATATTGTAGTTGGATGCAAGTGATTCAAGCTCCAGCAGCAATCTTTCACTTGCCAAAGTTAGGCCAAGTAGTGATCTTAATAATAGCACTGGACAATCTCCTCATCACAAAGTTCACAGAAGCATATCTTCTAGCCAGAAACAGCGACGGTACAGTGATCACGGTGAGCAATTCTCATTTTCACTGTTGCAGAATGTTCAGCTTTTGAGTTTGTCTCCATCCCCCAAAGGTAAGGAGGATGACAACAGTGTAGCTCACAGCATGGTGGTTAAATAATTTACTGGATAACAAATTTTTTTTAAAATGGATTTTGTTATAAAGCCTTCAAAAACAGCTTCTAGAGGAACACTGAATACACCAACCTAATTCTCTTATTCTGTCTTGGGTCCTCCCTTGCATTCCCAACTGTGCTGGGAAAGTGTTGCTACACAAATTGGAGAGTGTGTTGCAACCCCCTTTTTCATGAAAAGCACACCACTCCTCCTCCATGCTCTTGTATGTCTGTTCAGCTTTTGTTTTATTTTGACACTAGTAGGTCAGCTTGTGTCTAAAACTTGAAAAAATGCCAGTTTGCCAATATTTCTTGTTTCCTGTTTCCGGAGGGTAGTGTCATTTGATTGTCCTGCAGGAATTAAATTTCTAAAGATCAGTGACTCAGACAAACTTAGAATTCTTCTGCTTAATGAGTCTGCAAGATAGTAGCTTAGGGTTTTCTAAATATCTTCAACATCTTCCTGCTCAGACACTAACTCATAAAGGGAGGCTCTGTTGAGGTCTACTTTTAAATACTTCAAGTTCATTCAGAGGTTGCTTTCCTTGGGGAGTCTCCTGGGATGGCAGTTATTTTGTTTTGTGATGCTTTTAAATATATTTTTATAAATGCAATATATATATATATAATTTTTTTATACATGTCTGTT